GGGGGGGGGGGGGGTGTTGGTCCAAGAAAGATTTGGGTCGAGTCTGCTTTTTCTTGCTGTGCGCTTTCTTTAGTCTTGAGCTGTTTGCTTCTTTTCTGAGGATTTTCAACTGACAGTGAGTCTTCCACGCCAGCTTGCACGGTCCATGGTATCTCTCAATTTAGACTATTTGGTATCAATATGTTCATGTTCCTCCGCGGGATCATCGCCCATTCTGCGTTCGAGTTCAATGGAATATTTTCAGCAATGTTCGCACACTTAACCTTTAGGCTTTTTTTTTTTGTATTTCTGGCCTTGAGGTTTTCTCATGGGTATGAGATGAAGTTAGTGCACAAGTTTAGAAGCAGTAGACCACTTCTGCTTCAATTTCCATTTCCATGTCTTCCGATAGTCCCTTCCCATGTCTCGTGAACTGTTCCAAATATGGCCTTGAATTCCCAAAGAATAATTAACTTCACTGATTTTGGATCTTTAGAAATGACGTTGTTTAGTTCTTCATAAAATTGATTTTGGGTTTCCGCGAAATTTCTCGTCGTTGGAGCATAAGCACATATGAGTGAGGCTCATTTATGTTTGAATAGGTGGAGCAAAAGTGTCATTAAATGGTCGTTGATGCCATCTTGTAACTATGAGAGTGTGTGGGCAATGCTTGTCTTGATGAAAAAACCAACACCAGCTTTGAGAGTGTGTGGGCAATGCTTGTCTTGATGAAAAAAACCAACACCAGCTTTGAGAGTGTGTGGGCAATGCTTGTCTTGAGGACAAAGTCAACACCAGCTTTGAGAGTGTGCGGACAATGCTTGTCTTGATGACAAAGTCTACACCAGCGTCTCGTCGTTCGTCATAGCAGCGGCAACGCCACAAGTGTATCCAACCCCCAAGCTCTGTACGTTTCCTTTTTTTCTGGTAGCCGCATTTCTGCTAGCGCTGCTTTGTCGATTTTGCATCTTGCGAGCTATTTGGCAACAAGTGCAGTTTGACGCTCTGGTTTATTTATTTATTTATTTATTTAGGCATTTTTATATAGCGCTTATCATAAAGCTCTAAGCGCTTTACAATTATTAAAACATGTAAACTAAGTAAAATAAAAATGAGACACTAGGATAGTAACTACTATTCTATAGAAACAATGAAAATGGCTATAAAACGAGGACACTTTGACACTTCAGGATCAACCCGAAACAGAAAATGAGGTAGGGCAAGGAGGGTGCATCACAGGTCATAGGCGGACCTAAACAGATGAGTTTTAAGGGACTTTTTGAAAATGGACGAGGTTTCACTATGACGTATATGGAAGGGGAGCTGGTTCCAGAACGTGGGCCCATGGAAGCAGAAGGAGCGTTCACCGATGGTCTTAGTTTTAGTTCTTGGGATTGAGAGGGTTCTACTGTCAATGGAAGAACGTAGTTGTCTTGTGGGGATGTAAGGAAGCAACAGATCAGAGAGATAGACAGGAAAGTGAGGGTCAGTGAACGAGTTGAAGCAAAGATTGGAAGACTTGTATTTGATGCGAGAGGATATTGGAAGCCAGTGGAGTTGCCGCATGTGTGGTTGAATGTGGTCATGTTTCTTTAATTTAAAAATGAGTCTGCATGCTGAGTTCTGTGCCTTCTGAAGTTTGTCTATGTGGTGTTGAGGAATGCCTGAGAGAAGAATGTTACAGTAGTCAAATTTTGAAAGAATGAGTGAAGAGACGAGAGTTTTTGTGGCATCAACGGAGAGGAGGTGTCGAATGGTGCTGATTTTTCTAATTTCGTTATATGCTGATCTGCATATATTCGTTTATCCATCAAAGTGCGCACATTCCACGCACCAATGTTGAGTGTTTTTGATTTGATCGTATTAGTATTGTTTCTGGAGCAATTCTTCTATCTTCTTCCTTCTATAATTAGGTGAACAAACTGGTCTAAAATAGAATAACCTAGATACCTAGAGGTAATATATCTCTCACCTGGAATGTGGTTTACTACTTATAATCGTGAGAACCAGCCTTGCTTTACTTATTTCTTTGACTTGATTAACCGGTTTAAAATGAGCAGCATTAAGCCTCTGGGGATGGAAAACAAAATACCTACTATAAAATCAATTTTTTAATAATACGATAACTTCAAAAAAACTACAATGATTGTACTCTACCAGTTTTTAAAATATCTAATCTGGCATAGATTAAATGGACAGTTTGACCGCTCGGAACCAAATTATGTTTCCTTCTTTTACATCTAATAGTTTGCTCTTAAGATGAGATTTATTGTTTTTGGTGGCATATGCTTATTTTTAAAAATGGCCATTTTTAAGAAAAAAAATATTTTAAAAAAAATAATTAACCAATATGACAAAATTTATTTAAAAAAATTTAATCCAAAAATGCATTAGCCCAAGTATTGATACCGTGACAGCTACATACAACACTTTCAATCGGTTTGAAAGATCGAATGTCTTATTTACTCGTTCCTGACGCCTGATTGTAATTGAGCAAACAAGTAGGGTAAATCCTGATATAAAATGAAAAAATAAAAAAAGACATATCAACGACTGACGTCATCAATCCGTGCTACTTTCAAGTCAAAGTCGTCAGAAATAATCTTTTGTAGCTCCTTAGTCATTCGTTTATCAGTGCTTGTCGCTGTAACATTTGTGTCATATAAAATCAAGACATCCAGCACGTCGCTTTCTTGATCACCATCCGTGACTTCTGAATTATCTAACACCGTCCCCTTGTTGCCGTCAACAGAATCCCTGTTTCCCTTCTCAATGTACTGATGAAACAAAGGTTTCAAGATATCTTTAGCATTGCCCTCAGCTGCTTGAAGTCTTGCGGCTGCTGTGTAAAGACGGACTTTCAGAGAGACTGACTCCAGTTTACCATCATCCTTCTTAAAAAATGGTGATGTCATAGAAACACATAGGAATGTGTAGGCATCCTCATATTTCTTTAAACCTAGGTAACTTTCAAGTCCAGATTTTATCACCTCTGAATCAACTAATTCTTCTGGACTCAGCCTTCGAAAATCTTCAATAACCTGTAGAACTTTCTCGTAACTGCTCACGAGAATTAACAACGCAATATATTTTTTAAGGACTCCAGGTGAATCTTTCCTGCCTTCATACATAGTTTCCAGAGTTTTAAAGGCGATCCACGTCGGTTCTCCAAACACGTCTCTCTCTGAACAAAGATTTAATGACGCGGACAAACTCACGGCCTGCATCAATTTTTCTTCGGCACTTTTATAAAAGCTCAGCGTCTCTTTTTCTGTTTTCCCAGGTTGTTTTGCCAGCTCTAGGAGACAAAGTCCAGCCTCCTCGTAAGCGCAAGTCACAGTAAGAAGATACTGGTAATTTCTTTTTCCGTTCGCTACTTCATTGCCAGGATCATCGCTCTTCAAATTGGCTCGAATGATCTTGTTAAACTCAGAAAGTGCGCTTTCAAACTCTCCACAAGCTCGAAGTATGAGTCCAAGGTTGTAGCGAGCTGGGTTATTATTGTTACATGAGATATTTATTGCTTCTTTGTAGCAGGTGATGGCTTTATCCACTAATGGGTCACTCCTATTTAAAGTAATTTTCGGTATCCTTGAAGATTCATTACTTCTCCGGTCATTAAATGAATTTTGTCTGTCCGATGCCTCTAAGCCTTTAGCTCTCCATTCGTAACACAAACCCAGGTGATGTAAAGCAATGGAATGCTTTTTAATCGCCAAAGATCTCTTTAGTAGTTTCGCAGCGTTTCTACTATCAGTGTGGAGTAAAGAGCGACCGCATTCTTCTAGTGTTTTTGCATCAGTAGAGCCATATTTCAGAGCGTCGTCTATCAAACTTTGGCAACTCATACCCTTGAATATGTCATTACAATCAGTTTTGCTGAGCGATCGATGTTCTTGGCTTAACATAACAGCAAGCTGTGAGTAGGCGCGACCACAGAGATAACTTAGTGAAGAGTTACGTGCTACTTCAAAAAGCAATTCAGCAGCTTTCCTTGTATGTTCTACAACGGGTATCTTCGATGGCAAAACTGTAGAGATATTCCCATGAGTTGCTCGTCTGTGCGCCAAACCCAGTCTGTACTTCCAAGCGTATCTTTCGGGCTGGCTTTCGACAACATCTGTGTAAATTTCAATGGCGCGTGATAAGTTTTCGGTGCCCCCTAACCTACTGTAGGAATACGCCAACTCTGCCTTGGCTTCCGTCAACAATTTCTCACCTTCAATTCCCTTTTTCAACCCTTCCGCTTCATCGAGACAATTTTGAGCCTTTATGTCATAGCCATCTTTCCATAAAATATAGGCTTGGCTTAAAACTGAAGTGATGTTTTCCCGATCCGTCTGTTTTAGAGCCTCCTCGTTGAGTTCTTTCGCCTCCTCAATTTTGCCAAGTTTAAACTCCACCCACGCGTACAAATTTAGCTTTGCGATTATTTCTTCCTTACAATCATCATCCACTTTCAATTCATCCTGTAGTTTCATCTTAATTTCTTTCATCTTTTTGTTAGAAGAAATGGCAAAGTATTTATTGTTGTAAATGCATGGGCAACAGGCAGACGCCTTTACCTTAAAATCGCTATCGGCATCACTGTCCATTGTCCAGCACCTTCTGGCGATTAAAAAACATTCTTAGTAAGGAAATGTGTTTTCATCTGAATGGGTTAGTTTTCTAAAAAGGAACAAATGAAGCGTAATGGGCTGTTAAAAGACAGGCGAAGATTGTCGAAAGTCATTTGAATTCATTTTAGAGCATAACTGCCAACTCAATAAAATTTAAAGTACGGACTAATATCTAAAAAAAGAAATTATGGGAAATCAAATCATTTTTATGGCGACATTTTAAAACTAACTGTTGAGACTAGGAAGCTTAAAAAATTTGTTTTAAAAAATCCATACGATTATATTTCTAAGAACACATGCGGCTCGCTCGCCCAGTGTTACCGCCACTGCGAATGGCAAATGCTTTTGGCATGGCTGCGTTTTAGGAACTCATGTAGTGCCTCCCCTTCCCACCAGTCGTACGAATAGCTGTTGGGAAAATAATCGCATGTTCCAAGTTGCAAATTATCCTTAAATTTACGCACAGCCCGTAAAAATTTGACTTTGAATTACTTGTGCTTTAATGTCCATAAACATTTTAGGACGTCCTTTAGAAAATAAGGTTTTGCAACCACATTTTTTTATAACAAATAAAACGGACAAATTGCAATGTTGGTGATTTCTTCTTGATTGAAATACAGTAATACGGATATTTGAAATACTGTATAAACAAATATTTGAAATACTGTAGTCCGGACATTGGAAATACTGTAGCCCGGACATTGGAAATACTGTAGCCCAGATATTTGAAGTACTGAATTGCGGATATTTGAAACATGTTGAAATTTTAGATTTAACAGGTTATTATCTTTTTTTTTAATGTTTCCGTAAAAATTGTGGAGCTTTTAATTATTTTTCCTTATAAATTTAATTTTATTTAGTTAGCAGAAGTGGCAGGTATCCAAAGCTTCTAGTCATCCAACTTAGACGTCTACGACTCTATGTTTAATAATCCATTAACAGTCATGGAAGGGGGGAATTTTCAAGAATGTGCTTGAGTTTTATAAACATTTATACAAGCGGACGTGTCACTAAAAGATAGTGTCACAAGATCTGGTAACTCAGAGGGGGTTTTGAGGGCCTGCGGGTTTTGTTTTTGTTGTTTTTGTTTTTTTTTTTTTTTTTTTGTAGGCGTGGGGCGTGTGGAGGAGGCTCGTGTGGATTTTCGAGTGGTTTCAAGGGTATGAGAATCTCTGTTGTTAAGGTGAACTGACGTTACCTTGTGGGTATGACTGTGGCGGAATTGTGATTTGAAGACAGGGAAGGCATTGTTAAGCAGGTGTGTGAATGTTGGGTGTGTCAGGGGGTAGTTAGTACACAGTAGTTGATTATTGTACACATAGAGTCGCATGGAGTTCACGGAGTGGTTGAGTAGTTGATGTACAGTCGCCAGAGGTGTGTGGCTAGATAAAGTTTGTTCACTTTGTGTCGTCGTTGCCTAAGATGATGTACATCACGACACATTGCTGTTGCGTACACTGTGCTATGGATGTCTCGTTAGAGCCAAGAATAAAGATGATCAGTGTTATTTTATGAAGTGCTGCTGTCTGTAGTCGTTGTAATTAGTAAGCTTGACTCTTCGTGCAGAGTGCTGCTTTGTTTTAGTTGAATCTAGACAACGTGACTATTCTTGCCAAGTGCTGCTATGTCACACTATCATGATGTGGATGTCTTGATAGTTCGAAGAATAAAGACAGTGTTATTTTATGGAGGGCTTTTGCTTATAACTATAGTAATTGGTGTGCGTGACTCTTCGTGCTGCTGTTGTATACCGAACCTCTGCAACGTTGTGGTCTCGAACCGAGTATTTTAACAGGTAGGGACAGCTACGTTTATCCTCTTTGTAGAGAAGACGCTTGATGAAATGAATTATTAATTACATCTAAGTATTACATTGTATGATATGAATAAATTTGAATTGTTATTAATATCAGTTCATGTCAGAGCCAGGAAACCAGCTTCTCCTTCTTTAGCAAAAACAAACAAAAAAATTCCAGAACTTTTGCCCTGCGAAGTCCACGCCATCGTCAGGTTGTGACGGACGGATAAGTCTAACCATCGTCAAGTTGTGACGGACGGATAAGTCTACACCATCGTCAGGTTGTGACGGACGGTTAAGTCTACACCATCGTCAGGTTGTGACGGACGGATAAGTCTACACCATCGTCAGGTTGTGACGGACGGATAAGTCTAAACATCGTAAGGTTGTGACGGACGGATAAGTCTAACCATCGTCAGATTGCGACGGACGGATAAGTCTACACCATCGTCATATTGTGACGGACGGATAAGTCTAACCATCGTCAGGTTGTGACGGACGGATAAGTCTACACCANTTGTGACGGACGGTTAAGTCTACACCATCGTCAGGTTGTGACGGACGGATAAGTCTACACCATCGTCAGGTTGTGACGGACGGATAAGTCTAAACATCGTAAGGTTGTGACGGACGGATAAGTCTAACCATCGTCAGATTGCGACGGACGGATAAGTCTACACCATCGTCATATTGTGACGGACGGATAAGTCTAACCATCGTCAGGTTGTGACGGACGGATAAGTCTACACCATCGTCATATTGTGACGTACGGTTAAGTCTACACCATCGTCAGGTTGTGGCGGACGGTTAAGTCTACACCATCGTCAGGTTGTGACGGACGGTTAAGTCTACACCATCGTCAGGTTGTGACGGACGGATAAGTCTACACCATCGTCATATTGTGACGGACGGTTAAGTCTACACCATCGTCAGGTTGTGACGGACGGATAAGTCTACACCATCGTCAGGTTGTGACGGACGGATAAGTCTAAACATCGTAAGGTTGTGACGGACGGATAAGTCTAACCATCGTCAGATTGCGACGGACGGATAAG